AGAGGCATATAGGAGTGCGTGGGGACTTAGAGACCTGGGAATACTAATGACACCTATAGGCCTTGTACGTAGGATATCAGAAAACTACCGAGCTAGCTACAGGGGCGAGGTGCGACTAAATACATGAGGGAATAGGGGTAACTGCGGGGGGCTGGGTCGAGTCATGGTCGGGGCCGATACGGGGACCCTTCGGATAGGATCCGAGCGACCCGATATGGAACGATTCGTAGAATCGTTACAGCATGTTAGTTACTTATTATCTTTTAAAAAACTCTATAAATAGCTATAGTGTGTTAGTTAAAAAGTGTTATATTTTATTTAAAAGCTTAAAGTGTAAGCTATATTTAATATTCCTTTAACATGTTTAAGTAGTGTTGTTAGAAATACATTAGTGTAGAAAAAGTAGTGTAGTAGAGTCTTAGCAAAAGTAAGTAACTTAGGTGTGTAAGTAACTTGCCTATGAAGTACGTTAATCTTTATATTCTCTTACTAAGTATTCTTAATTTTTTAGATATTTATATTCTAGGTTATAGAGATCCTATTATACTCCTCTTTTCTATACTATAACGTACCTAACAGGTTGGCCGGCCACTTTTGCTAAGCCTCTACTAAACTCTACTTATCTACATAATGCCTTAACAACAACACTAGATTAAATCTTTTAAAGAACGTTAGATACAGCTTGCTTTTTAGGCTTTTAAATAAGACTTAAAACTCTTTTTGCAACGCGCTGCAGCTATCTATAATGTTTTTTACATAACACTAAGCAATTAACACGCTAGACAGCCTTTATAAGCAGAATACTAGCCTAAATTAAGAAATCTAACTAAGCTTAAAAAAAAAGTAGTTATTAAGTATATACTTAAGCTTATTACACGCAGATTTCTCTTTAGGCTTGCAGCTATAGCTAATATAGCTAATTCCTTACCTGCAGAGCGTAATCTAGGCTAGGTTAGCTTAAACTAGCTTAGTATGTAAGTTAAGCACTGCCCTAAGTTTATAATAAAGTTTAATTATAAGTATAATTATAAGAGAGCACTTTATAAGGATCTAGAGGTTATCTAGGGCTAGTTTTGCCTAGTAGCTAACATAAAAGCTAAGTACAGTATCTAAAATAAAAACAGGTATAACTTTAACAAGTTAGGCTTTATAATAGGCTAGATATTAACTAGAGTAGTTGTTACAGCTTTAGAGAGATAAAAAAAGCTAAAGGTAATATAGTAAAGTAATAAAAAGTAAATAATAGTTATTTAAAGCATTAACATAATAAAGTAGGCTATAAGATTATAAAGCTTTAAGTAGTAAATAAAGCTGCTACATAATATAAATTACATAAAAAAAAGTAAATTTAGGCAGAAAAGACCTTAATAGTTAAAAATAGAGCTTATCTAACTGCTCTAAAGAAGTTTAAAGCGCGTAGTAATAAGAAGAAGCTAAAGATGTAAGTGCGCGCTAAAGAAGGTAAGCTAAGTTAAAGGTAATACAGGCAGTGTAATTAGACTAGGCATAACTTGTGTACATGTAAGCAAGTAGTAGAAGTAGACTCTAAATAATATCTTGTGTTATATTACTTTATATAGGGCTAAAGTAGGCTGTTTTGCTAGAGAATAGAGTAGTTTTAGTAGGGGCTTAGC